CTAGGAAGATCCATATATACTTTCCTATATGGGAAACCAATATTTCGAGGTGTTACATAAATTCTGGCCCAATCAAACTTATAATACCCCCAACACATAGTGTTTTAGGGTATAAAAACATAATTGAAGATAATAATGTTCAATGTTAAAGCGAGAATCCTTAATGATTTTTTTCTGCAGAATGCAAGCTATGCTAGCATCATAATCCTACTGGAGTTCTTGTTCCTTTTTAGAATTTTAAATTCAAAAACATATTTATCATCAAAATTAATTTCGGGATCGAATTTCATGTTGAAGGTCATAAAATATTTTTTTTTTAAAAAAAGATAGATACCCTAGTCACTATGTCATATGGGCAAAATCTAGAAATTTTTCGTAGAATTTAGATACATCTTCTAACAAGATCATGTGGAGTCAATTTTTATTTACTCTTTATCATACTATTTTTCTGAAAATTCTAGATACCCTAGCCGCTAAATCATATGGGATAATAGTTGAAAATTAATCATAAGAATGGAACACAAGTGGAATCTATGTTATAGCCCAAATCAAGTGAAGTCAGAATTTGATTTAAGTGAACAGGAAATTTTCACGTAAAGCTAGATATCGTAGCCACAAAATCATATGGGAAAAGTGTTTGAATATTTTAATATTTTAACTATAGATATTGCAAGGATCGATTTTTGAATAAAAGTTTATAGATATGTAGGTTTGTATACCTTAATGTTTAAATGAAAAACACTTTGTTTAGTGTTGATGGAAATTAGTTTTTATTATAGATTTTATGATTTCGGATAAAAGTGGATATAAATGTTCGATTTCTTTCAAATTTTGCACATACCAATATTTTTTATCTGTATTAGATGAAGTATTAAAATGGAATGGTTCGGTTCGCTATATCTGTTACTTCACGCACATTTCCACATTTTCCAAAACATTGAACATGTCACGTATAAAGTGTTAGAAGTAGTCGATATATCAGTCTTAGGTCAGAAACGAATTGGTCAATATTGACCAATTGCTTCGGAACTTCCCCCATAAAGGGCCAAGAGTTTGAATAATCATAACTCAAGGCTTTCCCATTTTGAGGTCAGGTTTTTCCCCTCGAGAATACCCGCCGTATGACCTTAGATAACATACAGCCTCTTTCTAAATGCTATATTCATCTTGTCATCTTCTTCGAAAAGATTTTTTAAGAGGCTGGCGTAATTGTTTATCGGTTGTTTGAAAGCCTCCTCGATTGGATCAACCGACTGGGAATCACTTCGAACTGATTCGACAGCCATTTTATCCTCCACTGTGTTGCTATGGCCTGGGAGCCAACAAAGATTAATGAATTCACGTATTGCAAGGAGGGCTTTCTTACAAGGGAATTGTTTTGATAGCATTAAAGGGGTTTTATTGTACAAGATGTCTTACAATTTCAGTTGCTTTCTTGATTGCAAGAATCTCCGGCTTAAAATTGGCATTAAGTTTACGTGAGCGTCTAATAATAGGCCTGCGAAAAATTCGCTGGAATTTGTACAAAGATTGAAACTCACTCGAATTCGAGAAAGCAGAAAAAATCGAGCAAACTCAATTTTCCATGTCGCTCGAATATGAGTAAACATATTTTCCACGTTTTTGAGTCATTCAAAATCGCGCAGATTCTACTCCTGTCGAGCACTGTTTTAGTTTTTGTTATACCGTTGTTGTATTTCTATGTATGTATATTTTTCTATACAAGATAACCCCCTCCACTCATTTTCACTCTTAGAGCAAACTCTAGCCCTGTTTTTGGCGATTTTGCTCTCCCTTTAATTTTTCAAACAAGAGTGCTCCCATATAAAACAAAAGAGTGGAGAGTAGACTCCGTGAAAAAGTAATTCGGTTCGCTAGCAAGTTTCGCTCCCTATTGAAAATGAGCAAATCTGCGATCGGATTAGGGTAGAGTATGTCAATCTGTGTGTGTGGCCAGACCGTCGATAGAAGGTGTACCAACAGCCCCGGCGTCCCTAATAGGTATTGTTACGTTAATGTAATTTAACGGATTATTCGCATTGATTTGCATTTGTTCCCGTACAAAATTCAATTGACGCAAAGAATGTTGCCTGCGGACAATCCTCGTCGATTGGAATGGGCCCAAAGGTCCGTCGAATACGGGCAACCCTGTACAACCCATTTCTAAATGCTATATTCATCTTGTTCTTCGAATAGAGCCTTTTTAAAGCTGCTGACGTAATAGTTTATCGGGGGTTCGAAAGCCTCCACGATTGGATCAACCGACTGGGAATCACTTCGAACTGATTCGACAGTCATTTCATCCTCCACTATATTGCTATGGCCTGGGACCCAACAAAGATTAATGAATTCACATATTGCAAGGAGGGCTTTCTTACAAGGGACTTGATAGCTTTAAGGGGTTTTATTATACAAGTTCTCTTACAATTTCAGTTGCTTTCTTGATTGCAAGAATCTCCGACTTAAAATTGGCATTAAGTTTACGTGATCGACTAATAATAGGCCTGCGAAAAATTCGCTGGAATTTGTACAAAGATTGAAACTCACTTGAATTCGAGAAAGCAGAAAAAATCGAGCAAACTCAAATGTCCATGTCACTCGAATATGAGTAAACATATTTTCCACGTTTTTGAGTCGTTCAAAATCGAGCAGATTCTACTCCTGCCGAGCACTATTTTTGTTATACCCTACAACACTATGTGTTGGGGCTATTATAAATTTGATTGGGCCAGAATTTATGTAACACCTCGAAATATTGGTTTCCCATATAGGAAAGTATATATGGATCTTCCTAGCTCGCCGAGCTGAGTCGATCTAGCTATGTATGTCCGTCCGTTTGTCCGTCTGTCCATGTTAATTTGTAATCACTCTACAGGTCGCAATTATGGCCCGATCCTTACGAAATTTTGCACGAAGGTGGGGTTAGGGTCAGAATAGAAGCCTATTTCTTTTGGAGATGATCGCCAAATGTTTAGGGGTTGAAATGGACCAAATACTGAAAAAATGTCGGATTTTGCAGTAGCTATACAGGTCGCAATTATAGACCAATCGACGCGGAATTTCGCATGTAGCTAGAGTTTAGGGCGGGGAAGAAGCCTACCAATTTGGGTGGTCATCGGATAATATTTAGCGAGTAAAATAGACCATATCTTTTGTGTTAAAAAAATTCAAAAAATTTTCATTAAACCGTGAATTTTTTAAATCCCGGCGAAATTACAAAGTCATGACAAGGTTACTTCTGACCTTTACATTGATGTTAACATCCAACAAATCGGATATATAGCAAAATATGTGCGATATATATGTCTATCAAAGAAGATATGCTTAAAAGATCTCTTATATGTCGAGAACGGCTGAACTGATTTCGACAGTTCTCATTAATTCAGAATGGCCCCTTGCCAGAAAAGAAAAAACGTCTAAAAAAATCGCATAAAAATATCTCTCTAAAGATGAAAATATTGATTTTGTAATATTTTCTCATATATTTTTTCAATTTTGTCACATTTTTGGCATATTTTCATTTTTAATTAAACATTTGGTAATATTTCTACACCTAACAAAACTAAGTAGTTAGGATATCAGGATATCATATACAGATCGCATTTATGGCCCGATCCTTACGAAATTTTGCATGGGTATAAGATGAGGGTCAGAATAGATGCCTACTCTTTTTGGAGATGATCGCTATATATATTGAAATGGACCAAAAAACTGCAAAATTGTCAGCAGGTCGTAATTATCGCCCGATCCTCATGCACATTTGAATGGGAGTTACCGGACATTGCAAAAGCCAAGCAGTTTCGGATGGCCATCCAAAAATATTCAGTGTGTGAAATAGTTTGCCAACTTTTGTAGAGAAAATACGAAAATGTCCATTGCTGAGACTTTTTGGAGAATTCACAAATACAGGAAAGACGCACTTCTGACTATTTCGTTAATGCTGATTTCGTTGAAAAATATAGTCAAATGTCTGTATCTCATATAGATGCGTTTTAGTCAAAAATCAATAATAAATGTTAATCTTTTGCCACTTCTGAGAGATTATAGGTCTTTGGGAAATATTGGTTCCAGATCTAGAAAGACCATTTACGTGCAACATCTACCAATAAATTGGAAATGAGCAAATTAGTTCAAGTTGCTATTATTCGAAAATTAGAGAACGAAACCTGATGGTTTTCTTTTATTATTTGTTACAATATCTGGTGGAGTTCTTTCGAGTATCTCGCCTATATAAACTGTATGGTTTATTATAGTGTTGTAGGGTATTCAACGGTCGGCCCCGCTCGACTGTAGCCTTTGCTTACTTGTTTTGAGTTCCGATATACACAAGGTCATTTTATATCAAAATGAGGCATTCATTCCACCACGAACTTTTTCCTAACTACATTACAAACACTTATTTCAATATCATATCGAAAACTCTGTATGCTGCAGTACATAAGAAGCCAATATAGTGATTTAAACTTTCTTTATATACGAGATTACAAAATCCATGAATTGGGTGGAAGCCATATTAATGACTTTCATAATTTGACCCCTTGTGGAAAAAAAATTACTGAGCAGCGCAAACATGCCCAATCTTTTGTATTCATGTTATGATTCTCTAAGGCTATTTCAGAGGTAATTTCCTCCTTAGCTAATAAAAAGAAAACAAAAAAGTTAACCAGCCGACATACATTCGTACACGCAATTTTGTATTGGAGGGAAAAATACCTTGAGAGAGGAAAACAAAAAACAAAACAAGAAAATAAACGACCCCATCGCTTAGTGCTGATTTCTACTTTAAACGCAGTTTGCGTTACCATCCTTGACCGGTTTGTTTGCTGGTATGGTATTGTATTGTTGTGATTCTGCTTATGCTTGTTCTCTCTGTATCATGTGTATTTTTATATTCTAAGGTTGTTTGATATTATTACATTATTTTCATTTTGCCCATTATTTCATGTTTTCATTCTTCCTCTTTCTTTTTCGGTCTCGTTTTTCATTGCCTCGCACAACAGACAGTATTCAAGGATATAAGCGAGAAACACGTGTACGATACGTCTGACTTTTTGGAATAATAGCAGCGATAGCAGCAGCGTTAACGTTAGCGGCGACAGCTTACACAGCAATCCAGCCCAGCAGTTCTTATGACAGTTCAATGGTAGGTTATTTATATATATATATATAAAAAATATTTTTTTTTCTAAAAATACCTACACTTAACCTTTCGACACGCGGAAGTTATACATGTTCGATGCTGCCCTTATAACTTCACGTGCCATGAATATGCGATTATCTTTGGGTCGTTTTCGTTAGGGAATTTAATCAATGGCTTCATAAGAACTCATAGTGAAAGTTTGATTTTGAGGTTTCGTTTCAGGTTTGTAAGTAAAATATTTGCAGATTTCTGTGGATTCAAGATGGAAATATATGAAAAGAGCATAGTTTACACCAAAGAAAAAAATCTGAAATTAATTTGACAGCAAAGCAGTATACTAAAATGGTTGTTGTGATCATATTTCACACTGAAGTCTAGATATCCTTGTCACTAAACCATATGGGAAATGAAATTTGAAATACACACTTGGTCCATCAAAAAATTCTGCCAAAATAATCATATTGGAAAATATTTTAATAATAATAAAAAGTTTGCCGATTTCAAACAGTTTTCGGAAATTGTATCGGAAATTTTTTTCGTACACCACAATATTCAAAGTCTTCATGCTCATCTGGAGGATGTTCTTACTAACACGTTGATGGTTAATTTTTCATAGTTTTATAACATTTTGGTCAATTCATAATGTATCACGAGATATTGCCAGCATCATTGAATGACCAGGATTGAGATTTGATTCAGTAGTTTAGTAGAGTTCTCTCTCGTCATTTACAGAATATAAGTTCCATAAATGGGTACATGTCATATCATCTCATGAATAGAAAAATAGTACCCTTAAACGTAGTGTTAAACCTCGTTCTGGCCGAATTCGTAATATAGCACCAAGCTGCACGAAGTGTAATGAGTCTACCAGAAACTAATATGCTGTTCACTACACATCAGCCTTACACTAGTTTACTGGACATTTTAGAAGCTAAAGTAAGAATTAATTCCTTGAACATAACAGCGATTACACATCTCATACCATTAGGTTTGCCAAAAAGTAGATACTGCTTCCAAAGATATATAAATATATAAAGCGGAGCCAATCTACCCCTTATCAGCCTGTCCACATATACTGTCGGATCAAAGATTGAAGAGGGTACGAGAGCAGCGGTCTTCTGTGAAGATCTACAAATTGTCTGTTCCTAATGGATGGAAAGTTCAGTGGTTTTCAGGAAGAGATCTTTGCAATCAAGAAGGTAGCATAATTAATTAAAACTTTGGAAAATATAATAGCTTACCGTTGAGTATTTATATTGATTGTTAAGGGTTAAGAACATCTTATTTCTTGTAGATTGGAAGTGGGAAATCTACACACAACTCTACGGCTTTGTTGCCTACCTGGTCATTGGAGGAAATGAGGACGTCAATAAACTGACAAGAAGGTTCTCGCAGTCATTAGACCTTGAGGTCATCGACCCCTCTTTGCCACTTTTCACACGCATATTTCTAAAACCACCACCATTTCTCAATCCTAGGCACGTAGTATAAGATTCCACGATTTCCGCTCCCTTCGCCCAATATCAAGTTTAGTTCAACTTAATACTATTGGAACAACTATAGTACACATGCTCAAACCCACCTCCAAATCTCAGCCTTAGATACCAGATATTTGCGATCGTTTCAAGTTGAAGGGCACTAGGCAATTTTCAGGACAACTTCCCACTTTGTGAAATATTAAAATTCAGAATATCAGCTCTTATGGTATACAAATTTGGGGATTCTTGCCCTATCTCTTCACATAATTTAGTATTCATACCCAAAACAACCTACATCTCTCCATTCTAGGCACCAACAGTGATTCAAAACTAGTATAATACATTTCGAACCATTACCCATTCCAAAACTACCTCAAAAAAAAAAAAAAAAAAAATTACAGATTCCAACAAAGACCTTAATATCAAAGTTGTGGATTCCAGCGCAATCTCTTCACCCAGTACCAAATTTAGAACCACTTAGCATTCATCGTACAAATATAGGACGCATTTGTAAACCACTTCCAAATCTCAAACACAGATAGCATCCGTAATATATATATTAAATTTCAGAATTTTATCTCTATATTCACCCTTCACCCAATATCATATAGAGTACCATTCGTTGCTTTTCGTACAATTATAGTACACATTTCCAAAACCACACATGAACAGCGATCCAAATATCAAATTTAAGATTTCAGCACTATCTGTTAATCCAATACGAAATTGTACCAAATAACGTAATATTTAGTACTTTCGTGCACTTGTTTTGGACACATTTCCAAAATCACCTTCATATCCCAAACTTATTTTCCAACCTTGATTCTCACACCAAATTTTAAGTTTTTAGATCTATCCGTTTACATAATACCAAATGCTATAATATTAGAAGTTTAGTACCATTTTAAATCTTTCGTGACTTTAATGCTGGAATTTCCAGGAACCCTTTGGTAAATCTATCCTGCACTGCATCAATGGCTCTCATTCAAAATTTCCTAAAAAATTTCATTTCGATTGTGCAATTTATACAATTTATTTAATTTGTAGTACCCTTTTCGTACTCTTCTAGTATGAATTTCCAAAAACCCAGGCTATGGCATGCCTACCCACCAAGACTGTACTTGTTGTACCCTTTTAGTACGAATTTCCACAAACCCAACCTATCACACGCCCACGCACCAAGACTGACGCTTGTGCAAAATTTCAAGATTATAGCTTCAGGTGTTTCGTCTGGGCGTTGATTTTCAGTCAGCAATCAGTTATTTTATCCTTTTTTAATTTTCAGCAATATTGCAGAAGACACTATATACCTAAAATATTTTTTTTTCAAAACATTTGGATCGTGGGAACACTTGCCCCCATCATTTAGGTTACATAGCGATGTCCATACCTCGTTATACTATTTTCTTTTCGCTTTTTATACCCATCGGTCCACGTTTTTGGATAGCTCCATATAACGGTACATCCCGATATTCGGTAGTTTGATAGTTTTATACACCTACTTCCACTGGTGTATCTAAAAATTGGTATTTGTAGTTCGTTATGGGATTTTAATAGGACCAAGTTTTCGTATAGCCCCCATATAAGGGTACGTCCCGATATTCGGTATTTTGATGATTTTTGCCACATTTTCCACGGGTTTTTTCTAAAAATGGTATTTGTTGTTTGTAAAGGGATCCAGCTTCGGTTACAAAACATTGGTTATATAGAACCACGTTTTCGTATAGCCCCCATATTGCGGTACCTCTCGATATTCGAGATTTTGAGGGTTTTATCCACATGTTTCCACGGATTTGTCTAAAAATTGGTATTTGTGGTTCGTTATGGGTTCTAGCTCCGGTGGCGGAACATTGCATATATTTTGCCAACTTTTTGGCATAGCCCCAAAAAAGGGTACCCTCCCCGATATTCGGTTTTTTTGATAACTTTTGGTATATTTTTCAACGAATTTCGAAATGGGTTCTAGTTCCGATGGATGAACATTTTAGACATAGGTCCACGTTTTCGTGTATCCCTCGTATAACGGTTCCTTCCGATATTCAGTATTTTATTGGTTTTGCAACATTTTTCCACGGATTTGCCTTAAAATTGATATTTGTAGTTCGTTATGGATTCTAAGGGTACCTCCCGATATCCGGTTTTTCGATGACTTTTGCCACATTTTTCAAAGAATTTATCTGAAAAAGGTAGTTCGTAATGGGTTGTAGCTCCGATGGAGGAACATTGTACATATAGGTGCACGTTTTGGTGTTGCCCCCGTATAACGGTTCCTTGTATGAAATTGTCTATATGGGCTCCCTTTTTAGTATGGTCCTTATATAACGGCTTTAACCATTCTCCCACCTATATTACTGGAGTTTTTAGTTTAAAGTGGAACACGTTTGAATCCAGATACTTTTGCTTACAAATATTTTCTTTACCCAATGGTGTAGGCTATTAGAAGTTCGGCCCTTTTTTCTTGTTTTGAATAGCAATTAGTTGTTACTTTTGAGAGAGGTATAATTTTGTTCTGGGGTCTCCTTGTTATAGACCCTTGTATACAAATGAGGGCTATTACACTTTGAGGACAGTAATTAGGCAAGGTAGCTAATCTTTCAAGTCTTAAGATGCAAATAAAATTCATTCTTGGAAACGAAAAGTTTTGAGGTTTTGAAATTGAAATATATTTGGTAGCCCTGTTATTTGGGTATTATGTAAACTTACCTTTTGGATATATATACATTTATATATGTATCCAGATTTTTATTTAGTTTTCCGTAAAATTACAACAGCCTGTCTGTCACTCATCCTAAATCTATAAATAATTCCCTTGACATGGTTCAATTCAAGATATCTCTCTAAATAAAGCTTTTCTAACGTGTAATGCTTCAGCACACATTGCTCCACATATTTGTGACGAAAAATTAACCTACAATTTGAAGCGTAAAACATATGCTAAGCGTACTGTGGTGTGTATGCGTGTGAGAGGTTCAAAGGAATCTTATCTGTGAGGAAATACTAGAACAGCACCAAATCATCATTGTAACTTGTTAGCTGGCATAGGAGCTGACTACCTTATTATGGAGGGAGGCCAGCACAATACTCTGACACATAAACCAGAATCATAGAAAAGAGAGAAAAATATTCAACACACACACACACTTTCCCATGTTTTGTAATCCAATGAGACCAAGTGGGAGGTGGCGCACACTAAACTTGTTCCAGTTTAAGGCTTTAGGGTGCTTATTATTATTAAACCAAAAAATCGGACAAAAACACTACCAGCATAGTTATCTTCTTTTTTTCATGGTGGCGGCACTCCTGTTCCAGCAGTGCCAGTCAGCCAACCAACCAACAAGTCTCTCTTTCGTTGTCTGTTTGTGGTTAGCTCTTAGGTACCACATGAACAACACGAATAACAACAATTTATTTACGCGAAATATAAATCCATTTGGCCTCTGTGTATCTTTTATGTGCTTGAAGAAGACGAAGAGGAACCATAAGAACCAGAACAGGACTAGTTGTTTTGCTTCTTGTTCTTCTTAT